CGGACGGAGGTTACGGTACGGGTCGGTAGTACGTACTTACGTCGTCTAACGTTACTACGACTACTAATTTTAAAAAAAATTTAAAAAGTAAAGTAAAGTTTAGTTTATTATATATATATATATATATATATATATATATATATAGTATGAGCACTACTTTTATCAATCATGAGGACTAACTGTGGAGATTTAAACCATGGCCACATTAAAATAAAAGCATGAGGACTAATTGTGAAGCGGACATATGACTGAAACTTGACATGTTAATATAATTGAACTTTGAAAAAATGTTGTACAACCTACTCTAAGTCGCCCCGGCTGAATCTCATATAATTGTTCAAAGCTATACATTTTGAAATGAGATTATATACTATAAGACCATTTCTTTTTTGTACAAGGAGGTCACAATCACTTTTAGTCATTGGATGTGAAATCCATTAGATGAAAATGTGTCACAACATTCAAGAAATTTTATTTTGAACTTTGTGCCTAAACAGTGACACATTCTGAATCACGCAATTTCAAATTTTAACGGTCAATGGTGATTGTGACCTCCTTATGTGAAAAGCAAATGATCTCATTGTACACATTTTCTTTTGAAATTGTAGATTATTTTTGGAATTTTATTCTTGTAGCAATGAATTAGTAATAGAGAGTTAATTATATATAGAGAAATACGTTTTAGTTTTGAAGAGAAGGTTGTGGAGTATGTGACAAATGTCACCCCTTGCATAGGTGCAAGGGCACCTGAGGCACACTTGCATCAGCGCAAAGGCGCTCATGCAAGTGTGTAGGTCGGGTTTGCAACAAGCAAGTTTGGATGCTAAGAAAACATAAAATAGACTAACTAAACAATCAAAACATGTGAACAAGATTGCTCAATCTTCAAAGAACAACATCGCACTCAATATAGATGATCTTGTTTTGACTGTGAATAAAACATTATATAACAAGAGACAAGTTTTCGCCGAAAAAAAATGGTTTTTGACCAGAATTGCCTGTTTCAGGTTGGATGGTTCATTTTTTGGAAACAAAAGTTTGAAAATGTAATTGTTGTGGCTATCGACTATCAAGTTTCATGAATGGTTGTTACTTCAACTTTTTAATGATTATTACCGATCAAGAGGGGAAATAGAAATTAATGATAATGATGATGATGATTATCGTCAATATTAAAATAATTTACCCATTATTTAGGGTCGGCTACAGAATCCTAATCTACCGTTCTTATGGACCACGATTTGAAAATGGGAAAATGTAAAACTTTTGAATGAGTTGCATTGAATGGGGAAAAAGTAAAAGCATTGGATTATGCAGACCAATGGCAAATTGGGTTTCAGTTTGAGAGAATGTCAGCGATTTCTTCAAAATGTTATTTTCTATGGAGAAGGGGCTAAGATGGGTAGAAGAATAAGACAAATAGAAGGGAGATGATTTCAGCATTCGAAGGTGACAATGAACTCATTGGGCAACCCTGGACAAGGGTGAAATGGACCCCACCTGACCTGGGACCCGAGGGGTCGACGTGATCCAAGTTTGGATATAGGTTTAAAAATTGGATCCAATGAGTCGGATTTGGGTGCAAATCTTAGACCGAACGCTATTCGGGTCCGGGTCTAATAATATTTTTTTGGGTCTCAATTTATAAAATATATTTAAATATAGTTAAATACATTGATATTTAAATTTTTGAGTCGGGTCTAGTTGGGTCCCGGTCCAGTGATTTCAGGTCTAGGTCTGGGTCTGGTCCAGCCCCATAACACTTTTTTTGAGTCCAACCCGATCCGGACCTAATCCGACCCATTGCCACCCCTAACCCTAAAAAACCTAGAAGCAGGGGCCTGGCTGTGAGATCACATTGGAGCGACAAATCTCACTCACCCCTAAAAGAACTAAAGCTTCACCTCGAAGATGGTTTTTATGAGTCCTAGCACTCATAAGTAGATATGCATCATGTCGTTATGATCTATGAGTTTGGAATTATTTACGTTTTACGTATGTATAATCTCTCTAACGTGACATGAAGATCATGAATGTGCAAAAAAGCAAAAAAATCTAAAACTAGAAGATAAATGTTTTGAATTTAAGTTATAAACACCACTGCTCCACACATATGTTTTAAGATGGATGTGTGATTAGGGGTGGCAATGGACCAGGACCCGATCTGGGATCCAAAGGGTAGACCCAACTCAAGTCTGGGTATAGGTTCAAAAATTGGATGCGGCAGGTCAGGTCTAGGTCCAATGAATACTATTCGGGTCCGAGTCTGGGTCCAGGTGTGCGTCTCATATGTATTTTCGGGTCCTAATTTATAAAAAAAATAATTAAATATATTTAAATACACATATATTTTAATTTTTGGGTCGAGTCTGATGGAGTCCAGACGGGTTTGGGTTTGAATCCCACACTATATTTTTGAGTTTAGGTCTGCGTCAGGGTCTAGTGACTTCGAATCCAATTGGGTCCGGATCCCATAATACTTTTCAGGTCCGGACCTGACCGGACCCGTTGCCATTCCCAGTGTATTGGCTCACCAAGTATAGTTATGCCTCCCCCATAATAAACTACTTTTCCCCTAAGTTTTATCGAAACCTGAAAAGGTACAATTAAGGACTCCTAAATTTTAACGACTCATGAGAGAAAAAGGTGAGAGTAATACAGCGGGAGAGAGGAGAGAGAAAGGGAAGTGCGAGAGGGGAGGGTAGAGAGAGAAACAAGTGTAGTGAGAGAAATTGAGAGGTTAGAAAATAGGGAGGGAAGGAGAGAGATGAGAGAAAGGGTGAAGAGAGAAGAAAAGAAAAGAGAGAGATGAGAAAAAGGGAGAAGAGAGAGAGAAGGGGAAGTGTGAGAGTGGAGAGGGAGAGAAGGAGAGTGAGGATGAGGGACTGAATATCAGACAGTCAACTACCACATTATGCACCCAGGGGAGCATATACTGTTTAATTACTCCTTTGCCAGGATTTTTAAGATTTAAAATTTTAATCTAAAAAATCTCTAAAGTATTATCATATTATTATTTAAAAAATTGTGGGGAGAAAATGGATATAGATGTAATAACACAAATTTTTTGGTATTTATGTATTAATGCTAAAAAATGTATATTTTTGTAATTCTCATTATAAAAATTTGAATTTTGAGTTCTTTAATATCCGAAAATTTGATGGTCCACCTACATTTTTTCTTATTACTTTTTTTGGCTCATAGGAAGCATTGATCTTTTTTTTTTAGAAAGGGTGTGTTTTGCAGGAAGTTGTAACATTAAACAATCAAATCAAGGTGCACCTCTAAACTTTGTCTGAGATGTGATTTTGATGTCGAAAATTATTAGGATGATGCGAAAATTTATTTTCATCTTTAACTATAAATCAAGGAGATTTACAATATATAACAATATTGACAATGGATAGTCTTGATAATGTGTTGCAAAATATACTATTTTTAAAATATGAAATCTCTTTTTTTTTCTATATATATATATATATATATATATATATATATATATATATAGTATGTAGTAGTAGTATACTAAGTTAGTTTACGTTTACTTAACTTAAACTTAAACTTAAACCGTTTAAGGTTAAGGTTAAGTTAAGTAGTAGTAC